AATATTTTTTGTTATTAATATTTTTGTAAGCAGGATTTCTTGGCTAAACGGTTTCTTAGCGTTAGCTTAACCAAATTAGATTATTCATTTGCTTGAATTTTGTCATAGATACCAATCGTGAGAATAAATTTTTATTTATTTAAATCTTTGAAACTTTTTAGGGGAAAGTTTTATTAATTATTATTTATTTTTCTGTTGCGAAATCCAAATAAAACGTGAGTTCATTACGCCCATATTTTATAAATAGGTTCTTTTTTGTTACGGAATTGACAAAAAAAGATTATATATCACGTGACCATTTTTTTTTTGTCATTGTAAAAAATACGACATGAAACCCTAGATATAAAAAGAAAATCTTATAAAGGTAATTTTAATAAAAAAAATACACATCTGCAAATCTTTGATTCGTTTAAGCCCTTTTTCCCTTTTTGAAATATATATTTTTTTTTCAATAAGAATTTTAATTTTGTAAAATTAAATAAAACTAAAAATAATTTTTACTAAAAATCGAATGACGACTATAATATTTGTAGCAAAGTCGACGGCTGAATTGGCTGGTGGCAATTAATAATTTTTTTTTTTTATATTGCAATATTTTGACACTTATACATTAAAATTTGAATCATCGTAATCAAATCATATTAAATTAAAAACAAAACTAGTGGACATAACCTCGATGGTGTATATCTTCAGACATACAAGGATTACTGCAAGAAAATCTACCTGTATCTCGACAATCCCAATATACTGAAATCCAAATATCAAACCAAGTCCCACCTGGAGGTGTTGGGAAATCATATGCCCAGAGCGATGTGTATGTATTGTACAATCCAGTCAAATCACAATCCGCTCCATTAACAAACCTGGGATCTGTAAAAAATCTATAACTTTGTTTGTAATCAGTACTAATAGTAAAGTGACCGAATCCTGTTGGGGCAGAAGGACTACTAACTGTAATATTGAGTATTGAATTTGGTAACAAATTGGCATCTGTAACCTGAGCACCACATTCTGAAAATGAAAAAAAGGATTATTTCTTTTTTACCCAAAGAGTTGTGAATAATAATAAATTTGAAAATTAACATACTACGATTTTTATCACAAGGTATACCAGTAGGGTAACAACGGTCACATCCGAAACCTCCGTAAGTTTTCTCAACATGAATAAGGAAAAAAAATACAAGCAAAGCAAATAAGTATTTTTGATTCATGATGAAT